TTATAATCCGTCTGCTGATATCGGGTCTAGTTACCGTGGTAACTTGTACTTTATAGCTATTTAATAGCCTTGAGGTTTTGATATGGCTTAATACGTTTTAATGCGTTCTTGGAGGCTGCAATGAAGATAAACATTAATTGACCTGTACTCCTCATGACTTGCGCACGAGCCTTGAATGCCACCACAGAGATAATTCGCATTATGTTACATGGTTTTGGTTTACGGTACGTAAAGACGACTCTTGGAATACGTAGGTGTATTCAGAAATTAAAATTATCTAAATAAGGTAACTAGCTAGACTTGAGGTTCTCACAGCGGTGAGTATGAAGATTTCTGTCTTCTGGGTTATTGCGCTGTGTAGTCTGGTCGATGTTTACCAACGTTTCAGAGGTCATCCTGCCTCCGTCATCAGGGCGATGAATATTCATCGCCCTGATGATGCCAATAATACTTTAATTAATTATTTAACGACGTTCTAAAACATCTCAGGTTATTTTGGCGTCGGATGTTAAGTTTGTAAGGTGTTACCTCAGACTGTATTTACGAAAATCCCCGAGAAAACCAAGCAAGGCAAAGACCCGAACGTTTTCTGTACTACAAGGCCCAGGCCAATGCGTACCTGTACGAAGATGGAAGCATTAGAGTAAAGTAGGCTCCATAATTCTTTCCAGTACACCTCGTCGAAGTACGGATCCGGTCTGCTTCTTAGAATAAGGACACACTTTGTACGTGTATGCTCAATACGTCTTAGCAAACAGTGACCAAGATAAAAGTACGTCGTTAGCAGATATTGCGTAGTTGAACTGGCGAAGGAATGGATTTCACGCTTTGCCAAGGTTTTCTTTTTTTAAATGTTTTCGTTTATCCTTTTAAAGTTTTCATTTTAATTAGCGTACAGATGAAGCATATAGAAACTTGCATATGTTTTAATTACCGACACCTTGTAATGGTGGCGACAGAATTCCCCTCATTAACTTTCATTTGTTCTCTTTTTAGCATTTCTTACGTTTCTATGGTAACGATAATTAATACGTAAGTACATGAAGGGAACGAAGGAATATACGTATGTGTTAATTTTTTTGGCTCTGTGTTGCAAATTCTTCCTGAGACTTTAACGATGTTTTATGGCTTTTGTTTTGTTTGAAAAGTCTTTATTCTTTTTCTCTTTCTGTTTTAAAGTGTTCGTTTGGAAAGTATTTCGTAAATGTGTTTTACGTAGATTCCACGTGTGGTAAGCTGTAGGTATTTAGACAGAATTAACTTCTGAATGTTAATTGCAACGAAAGGCACTTGCCCACCAAAACAAAAAGTTTTTGTAAATGTTTTCCGACGTTCGTGTAAATGTATTATTTTAAAATTCCACTATACTGTTTCTGTTTTACTACGCGAACTTTTACGTTTGCTTCTTAGAACGAAGTGGCAAATATTTTCCTTCCGTGTAAACATCAAAATGTATTTCTAAGTTCCCGAAATATGAACTTGTATTTTTATTTTCCTTCCGTGTAAACATCAAAATGCATTTATAAGTTCCCGAAATATGAACTTGTAATTTAAATAAATTTAGACCACAGTTAACAATTGCGGTTGACTTTGAATATAATGAATCGAGAGTAGTAAATTTTCAGGTAGGTTGAATTTATCCACCAAGTTTAATTAACTTTTCAAATATTTGGGGAATTCAGATCATAGGCGGTGACGATGATTCTGGACCAAACATGTTTCGACGTCATATTCGAGCAGAAAAATATTAGTTTCGGCCTCATATCACGTGGTTTCAGAAACAGTGAAACATCGATGCCCGGCTCGGTTATTTAAAAGAAGCTCTGATGTTAGGAGTGATGATATTTCATAACATTCTAATGTGGATCGTAAATACGTCCATACGGATAGGAGGTTTACATATTGGTTTTATTCTAAATATTTCCTTTATGCATGCTTTACAATTGAGTAAAGTTTGATTAAGACATTGCTTATTTAACTTGAATTAGTTACGCTTAAGAAGAGTCTGATTTAGAGAAAACTAAATTCTTACGCTTATATGGATTGACAAATAAGCATAATTAGTGTTCATACGCCCGAACTTAACTGCCTGGATCTCTGCGTACAGCAGCAATATCCTTTCTGACATGATTTACATACCATTTTTTTATGTTGATCTCTGATTTTTCAAATTTGTTGGTATACCATTCTGGCATAATGTCCTAAAAATCGTTAGATTCTAACAAAACTTGGTAACGCATTAAAGCTAATATTAATATCTTCTTGTATTCTTCCTGGACGCGGTCTGGAATTGTTCACTACGTATACGTCGAACAACAGATGTGTACATTTCTTTCTCAGTGACTTTAACTGACCCTAGGGTCACTTCAGGTAACAAATCATTTAATATCCTTTTACTTGTATAACAACTGGAGTATGTAATTATACTAAAATTGCAAATTGCATGTAATACACGATTAGAAAGAGGCTCTATGATGTAGCGATTGAAGATTTACTTAATCTAAATCATTAACCCTTTAAAGACTAATGGTAACTGTATGTCCCAGCTCTGAACAGTAAGTAATTCTCCATTTTATATTTGTGTGTTTCGTGTGATTGTCAATGCAAACAACGATCATGTCTCTAAAGAGAGTTTGGTGGTGTTATGTTTTCTTTGCGGTAGGGACTGGATTACTGAATATTATTTAGATGATATACTGATTCAGAGGGTTAAAAACACAGTGGAACATACAAAAATGTGTTCTAGCCTGTATTTATTTTCCTCTGGACGCCTAGCTAGGCAAAAAAATATAATTCTGAGGTGGGTGGTTACTCCTAGCCTGTATTCATAGATGCCTTCTGCTTTTAATGACATCATCACCTTATACGGTGCACCCCGTTGTCACAAACGAGGATCTGTGGACCGAGTCTTTAAAATTTTACCATTAAGTGTGGTGGTGTAGATAATCTAATACTACCAAAATTTAAGGTTAAATTAGTGAAACGTTTAGATGTTGTTTTCTGTTGTTTTATGAGTTGAAGTGGCTGTGAATTGTAGTCTCTCACGCTAAAAAAGTAATGCAGATCGAGAAGAAATGTGCAGGAATACGACTTCTGTCTGGAACCATTTTACATTTACCATTTCTTGGAATGATACTTGGAAAATTTTATTGTCGACATACTCATTTTTTGCAACGGTGTGGAAAGAAATCTCTAAAATCTGGGATATCATTCATGTACATATCCCAGAAGCACATTCTCTCGTATTCCTTGGCCCTTCAACCCTTCAAAGCTTAGTTTTACTTTAACAGTTAATAATTCTGTAAGTTGATCTCATATGTGTTTCGTATGATTCCCATTGTAATCGGAGATTATTTCTTTAAACATTAACGAATTGATACTTGTAATGGTGAAATATCATGTTTTCTTTGAGGTATGGACTGAATTGTTAAATATTATTTAGACGAGTTTCGACTTTAAAGGGGTAATAATCAAAATACCACCCCTTCTACTGGAGGGAGATGTTATAGTGCTCGGATTATAAGTTTGGAGTTTAATTTTCACTAAGAAGAAATCGAAAATTTCCATATATGCTAATGAGTTTAATCAGGCGTATTAATTTATGATATTTTTCTGTGACAGACTTTGTTGTTAGCTGTTTTGAGGCATTGGAGTTCTCTGCATCTGTGTTAATTAGGTGATTTTTCAACTTTAAGAATTTATTATTTTTCCTGTAGAATTTATATAGTGCGTTTTCTAGTCAGTGCAGCCCGACTTGGCAATTTTTGTAGTTATAAATTCTTTGGCTTATTTCTGTCTGTCCTTTGGACATTGTTTCATTTGTAATTGTAAAATTTTGTTTATTATTCCGTTTAAAATATTTACGCTTATTTATATTTTCATTTATCAGCCATTGCTTTCGAGTTATCACGTGAACTGTGGTTTCTCGGCGCACAGTCTGAGAACCAACGCTGTAGCTCACGCATTCATTGATGTCTGTGTAAATTTTGTAGATAGGACGCACAATCTTTTCTGACCATCTGACCCAAAGCGATTAATGGTAACGACCAAATTAAATGAACAGTCAAACACTGTCTCGTTGGCACGTGTTGCTGAAATGTTCATGCCCAAAAATATTTATTGGGATATTTGAGGGCGTTTGGAACGGAACACTAAGGAGAATAATTGGCCTTGGTGGCTGGGAGATAAGGAGTTTCATAATTCTTTAATCTTTATCAAAAATTTTAGGATGTTGAAAACAAAGGATGATGGGATGAGCAGGGCATATAATACGTATAGGTGATATGAGCAATGCGTACATAATTTTTGTCGGGAAATCTCAATGGAAGAGATCATTTAGAAGATCTGGTTCAGGATAGGGCCTCAACCTCCTCTTTCCGAACTTTTACCTCCATATCAAAGACAAAGAATCTGTCATTACCTCTTTTCTGTGCTGTCTGAGATTCGAGGTGCTCATGGCGGTGAAGATATCGGTGGTAGGTCTCGATGCCTTGTGAACCTTAAGATGAACATCAGGTTCATTCATTAATTTTTGTTTACATATTCACTTCCAGCTTAGGAGACAGGAAACCTAACATTTCAGTCGACACGTGACAAAGTACCCCAAACGAAAAGTTTAATGGCCGATAGCTTGGTCGTTGTGATTCGCAGACTTGGCCACTACGGTCACCGGACCTCACTCCCGAAGATTTCAATTAAAAACATGGCGTATAAGTGAAAAGTGAACAGAAGAGATTATGATTTAAAATATTCACGTCGGCGAGTCCACAGATGGTCTGTCTTCTGGTTTGAAGCGGCGCGTAGTCTGGTGGAAGTTTGCCGACGTTTCAGAGATATTCGGTGCCTTAATCATCAGTGCGATGATGATAATGATGGAGGCAGCAAGAACCTCTTAAACTTCGGGTAAATTTATACCAGACTACACGGAGCTTCAAACCAGAAGACAGAAAAGAGTAAATGTATATCGAATTTTAAAGAAAACGTGATCTAGCTTTACTCACTTTGTGACGATGGGTACCAGCGTCCAGTCATATCCCTCCAGTACCTTTGTAACGGCCTCGTTTATCTCCGTCTTGTCGGCGTCGCCAGGCGCCACAGACGTCCCGATTAACGACGTTCTGTCACCGCCGATCGCCGCAACGGCCGCGGCGGCCACGCTTGCAGCCGTGCTGGCGCAGATTGTGACGACGGGTCGAGGGGTGGCGTCGGGGCAAGGACTTGCCCTCAGGATGTGCTGCTGCGTGGACAGCATGGCTGATCTAACACTCGCGGCCCTCAAGTGTGGGTCTTCATTATTCCAGAAGAAGGGCTTGTGTCCCGAAGTTCGTATTGTTATAAAATATAAACACGGAAAGGTTCAATAGTTTATCGCCGATGTCTAGTTTAACAATAACTTCTTCGCGTAATATTTTGAATCACTACATATCATATGTCGATTTTAAATTGGCTCAGTCAACACTTTATATAAGTTTGTGATACAGTACCAGAGAATGTTTTCTTTTGTTGTAGAATATTTGATTCAGTTTCAAGTCACGTCCGCAACGATGTCACATAATTTAATACAATAAAAACACAAAACACAGGCACATTAAAAGGATTCACACTGAAATGTCACTTGATATTAAAACTGTTTTATTTTTTTTTAAAAAAAGATAAATTATTCCATGAAATGCTTCAAAATAATGTACGTTGTATATAAATTATTGATTGATATTGTAGGGTTTATAAATCATTTTTTCTCTTAGCACAACGTTTCACAGCCAGGATTACGAAGAAACTCTCAAGTGTATTTACGATTGTACAAATTAAAAATTCTTAAAGACTTTATTACGCGTTTTCTAAAAATTTTGAATTAAATGTTTTTGTTGTTCGCTGAGCGGAAGTGGGAAGAATTTGTCACCGTGTTTAAGGAAAGTATATTTTGCTGGTTCCTGCTGTATATAAATAAATAAATAAAGAAACTTCTTTGAATGAAAACGCCCTCGAAATTTTTTTTATCGTTCCCTAAACCTCGTAGTAACTACAAAATACGCAACAAGCGACGTCTCCTAAGCAACGCTTAGAATATGAATGAATCGTTGTTCGGCTCTGGGGGCAACGTTTATACAAAACCTTGGTCGAA